CGAGCCCCCCCCCCCCCCCGCCCCTCACACAGATCGCAGCCCGACAGGGCGCAGGAGAAACAGGCCCACCAGGAGTCTGCGTGCGTGTGCTGCACGGGTAAGACCTCTTGCGTGGCGTGGGACCATGGAAGTGTCCAAGTGTTATCATGCCCACGGTGCTAAAACTTGACCGAATTGAGTCAGATGCGCTTGGCACTGTCCCGAACGGGCATTAGCAGCTCACTGGGCTGGCCATCTTTAATGTTAGTCCAGCCAGGCACGCCGTTCGGGTGACGCCCCCGTACTCATCGCCTGATCGCATCGACAGGGAATGGTCAGACCGGGCATTTCGTTGAACGAACTCGACGCATTTGGAATCACTGAAGCTTCTGCTCACTTGAACCCAAGTATTGCGAACATGCAAATATCTTCAGTACCGGTCGGAGTGCAGAGTTCGCCCGGCCGGACAACAACACAGCGCCCCGTGTACCAGGCCGGACAACAACACAGCGCCCCGTGTGCCCGGTCGGACAACAACACAGCGCCCCGTGTGCCCGGCGGGATAACAACACAGCGCCTCGTGTGCCAGGCCGCTTGTTTGCTCTCAGGTCAACTACTGCCGGCGCCATGGGTAGCAGATCTGCGAGTGATCTGCAGACGGGACATTGCATAAACTATGCAGCGGCTTCACAGCTTGATCTGCTCCGGTCACCGAGAGCCGACATAAGCCGTCCAAAAACGTCCAAACAGAGCGCATCCATGTTCGCGTTCGAGCGTGCGTGCCTGGCCGCATGCATCGACCCGTATTGTAGTCAGGGTGATTGCTGTTCTAATCTCCGTTAGACAACGTGACGATAGGCACACGAACTTTGCTGAGGGCGAGCGGCGCAGAGTTTAGGGAAATAACGTCACGTGCACCCTAAAGAAAGGATCATATATATATATATATATATATATATATATATATATATATATATATATATATATATATGTTAATGGACATCGTTTTTTATAGTTAGTTATCATGCTTATATCGCTTGAAATATCAAACGGAACTTTTGACATTTCATTGACATGGTGAATAGTTTTCCACAGGTTTCTTGCTCTGTTGTCCTTATTCGTGCAGGGAAAGAGGTTAGTATTCGAGCACGAATTCTTTTGAGAGCCCGCGCGCTCAAATATTGATCAGGGCCAGTTCCCCAGATCTGCACGTTCCTGCACTGTCGTCTGTAAATCGAGTGGCGCTGTGGCGCGGTGGGTCGCCGAGATCTGGGCCGCTTTTGAGACGTTATATGCAGCGTTTTCGCAGGGGGGATTTTGCCCTTTTCGTGCCGAAAGGAGATCGCATCCTTTGAAGGCAATCGCAGAAACATTTGTCATGAATGCATATGGCTAGTTATAATGGCTCATCCCACTGGAAACTGCACCCGGGCCACCGAAACGTGCAGCGAACACTTCATTTCGATAAAGTTAAAGCATGAAAAGCTAAACACGCTAAAAAGCTGGTCAAGTCTCTAAACACCATTATTTCACTTCAACCATGATGATGATACAAAGTCTCCAGCTGACCGGCAAATCGGCTCTAATTTGTGAAATGCTTGGGGCAAGGCGTCGGTGCTGTTAATGACCGCCTGTGCCTTTCTGGTGCGCCCAGACATAAGTCGCCTGGGTTCTCCTGGAATGAAAGAATACCGTATCCTGTTCAAAAAATAAGGTCATGTGAGCTATTGCATCAACAGAATAGTCGAAAGAGCTCTCAGATGCTCAGGCCGCATTGAAATAAAATCAGAGTTAGAGGGAGTGTTCCACATTTCCATGGGGTTTCGAACCGAAATAGCCATCTTGAAGACCTTTCGGTGCAGCTCACAGCCCAGTCCGTCATAAGAATTAAACTCCTCTAGTTGTTGAGCTGCACGCCCGCGAAAATAAAGTGAGTATTTTAGGAAGTCTTTCAAAGTCACCTTGGCATTCATGACGTCACAGTAACGTCATTCAAACCCTGCCATTTCATAAGCTATGCGGCGATCAAGGCCGAGAAAATATAATGGTCGAGTCGTTCATAACTAGCGTTTGTGAGCACGATTTCCAGATATAACGGCGTTCAATGGGCTTTCAATCAAAGTTGTGCAAGGTACGATGACATAATCAAACCATGACGCATTGAGGGACCGGTTTACTAAACAGAGAATTGTTATGTCTAAAGAAGTCTTTTCCACTTAAAACGTATGCCAATGGATGTAAGTGAGCTTGTTGCATCCTATCTGATGCTTGGTTCATTGTCTTCAAATGTGAAACATTCCCTTTGATCTTGCTGAAGAAGTTTTCGATGATAACAATAAGCAAGATGCTTGTGCAACTGTCTGATGCAACAACTGCATTAAAGTGGTCATTCCAAACAGGAAACCGGAGCTGGTGGACAAGTATCTTAATGAAACTGTCCATGCTGGCCGGCTGAAACACGCGATATTCTGTCATCTGTATTATGGCAGTGTTGAGACCCTCTGTCCGTGTTTCCTCAATACGCGTGCATATACGCGTGTATACACGTGTACATGTGAGCACGCAACATGCTGCTATCTGTATTACGGTGGAGTGGTGAGACCATTTGTGAGCCGTGTGTTTTGCGTTGATGAGGAATGCCGAACAGGGTGCGGCTGGAGACGGCAGAGTCCCGAGCCGGGCTCCAGACGGCGGCGGGAGGGAGGGGGAGGGGGAGGGGGGGGGGAGTCAGACGAGACACGGTACCACTGACGTTACAGGCGCCAGCACGATGGTTTGGTGGTCCTACTGCAATGCTGCAGATAAAATACGCGTCTTTTTAGGAGAGTTATGAGCAAATACCCCCTAAAAGTGTATAGCGCGGTTTCTAGATTTTGTTGCCAAGAATGTCATGCGCCTACGAGCCTTAGATGCAAAGGTACTGGCTTTCGGAAAGCGTGACGGGTGGCCAGAGCCGGACCTGGCTGGGCCGCTTCAAAGGGAGAACTGTTTCCTTCTTCAGGTCAGATTCCCTCGCCCCATGTTTTTTCGCCATGAGAAAGCACTGAGAGGCTTACGGCCTGCCAGCCGAACGATATTCTTGAACTTTGTGGGAACAAGTTATTACACCGTTTCGTCTGATGCAAAGAAAAAGGAGGTGCATGGGCAAAAACAAATTCGGGCACGCATGATACGAAAGATATTGAATGTTTACACCGTTGTAACCGCAGCAAGCCACTTTCCCACTGTTGTAAATGACGCTTGGTATGTCTAAATAATAAAAACTTTCGTTTAATGGCGTTTATGTAGATTTTATATCTCGCTTATTCGTCGAAACTATGACTGGGTAGTTCACGATAATGAAAATCATAAATAGATAGCAGGATCTGCCCTTGAAGAAACATTATACTGGCATGGAAGGAAGTGTTGCCTAGCTGCGCTTCGGACTAGTTGCTTTAAATTATCACAAGGTCGGATTTCTTGATGGCCTTTTCTTTGTAGCGTACAACGATCATCCGCACACCTCAGTGACCATGTACTGCATCAATTCCTTACACTGCAGCTCTATGAATGTATCGGGGGACCAGAAATGCTGCATTTTAGTATTTGCATACTGCGCCCCGAAAAAGTTGTACGCCTCTGGCTACCTGTTTGGATGCCCTAAAAGTCAATATGAGTGTACCTGCAACAGTCAGTGGCGGATCCAGTACATAAACGACGTTGTGGTGCCTTCCACCTCAGTGAAACAATCACATGTTTGCACTATGTTTGGCTAGATTGTCGTCAAACTGGCACTTTGTTCGGAACTTGACGCTGCCCATAAGCTGTTGCTGGATTCAACCTTGGAAAAGGCATAAAACCGCTAACTGCTGACATACCTGGCATTACAAGGTACATGAAACGGGATGATACCTTTGCAAAAGATTGGACCGCGTTTCTTTTACACCCTTCGTGAGGCATCTTTTCTCGAGAACGTCACGTCTTCTGTTGCCTCTGGACTTCTCTAATCTGATAGCGTACTAGGGTACGAGGCCGCTGAGATGTACGCATGTGCTTAGTGCTTCTTTCATGAGCGACTTAAAAGCCCCTTCATGTCAAACACCTCCGACTGGCCAAATATTGCTTCACTTTCAACCAACTGGACGCACCGGAAGGCCCCGCAGCATTCTCAAAGCACGAGGTTGCATGGGTTAGTTAAACGGCAGTGGCTGGCCATCTCCCATTCAGCGGCCGTGTGCGCCAGGTGAGCTCGGCTGACCGCAGTGTCGGCACGGTCTGAACCGGGCGCCGGCCATCAGCGGCCTGGACTGTCCGGCTGCCGGCCTCTAATCAGCCCCGACCGACGATTGCCGCCGCTGGTGGGACGCGCTGCTGCAGTCACACCGGTGCAGGTACCTGGCGGCGCCCGCAGGCCCGGCGGCCGCCGTCGGCTGGCCCTGCCGGCGGCGCCGGTCATCACGGGTACAGGCGGAGGACATGGGAACACGACCAGCTGCGCGGCGAGCAAGCGGACGCTCGCCGTTTCCCCTGTTCCTCGAAGCCCGCGAGACGAGCTCGGCCAGAGCCGTCGCTGCTGCGGCGCCATCAACAGTCAGACGGCGATCTCAGTGACACGTCGCCCGAAGGCCGCGCCGGCCGCCGCGTCCAAGCCGGCCGGCCCCGCCGGCGGCCGGCGTTTTTACGCGACTCCCTCCGGTGTCGACCAGTCAGTGTCCGCGCGTTCGGCGCTGGTCCGAGGCGCCGCTGCTCGCTGGCGCTGACAGCTTGTCCAGAGCCGCGCTGCTTCGGCGATCGTCGTCCGCTCGCCCCGACGCAGCGCGGGAATCCGCCGCCGATACACGGCTGATTTTTCATCTTTTTGCCGGCTTGGCTCCGCCCAGCGCGGTTTTCCTGAAACTGGATAGGTCGGCCGGCCGCCTGGCGGCCGGCCGCAAAAGCAATAGCAGACGACCAATTCGCGGAGGCGCCGGGCGGGCGGAGGCGCGCGCGCCGCCCGGCACTCGACCGTGGGACGGCGCGGCTGACCTGAGCGGCGCAGAGGCCGCCGCAGGCGCTGCCCGAGCTGCCCCGCGAGCGGCGCCAGCTCGTGTCGGAGCGGACGGAGCGCGCACGCTGGCTGGATATGCGACCAGGTGAGTGTTAGCGGACGCGCGGACGCGCTGCCGCCGCCGGGCCTGACTGAGGTGCAGCAGCAGGGGTCGGGGAGATCCCGGTCTGCACCTTCTCAGCTGGGTGACGTGGGGACGGCAGGGGCCAGTCAGATGGGCAGTCGGATCCGTGGCCACTGCAGGTCAGGCGCCTTCCCTCGGGTGGATATTTGCATGGTCTGCACTCTCCGTGGGCTGACGATCTGGTATGCAGATCCGCTGCAGTGCTTCATCAGGTATGGGTGGTGACCGCGCGCTGATGCCTTAGCGTCGCTTTTCCATCGAATCCGCAGTTTCTTTTGAATCAGGCGCGGACCGGACGGGTTCCCAAAGGTGTCCTTGCAGCTGCCCAATCCCACTCAACGCGTCCGCATGTTGCGATGTCTTCGACGGCAGGCGCACCTCTTTCGAAGCGATCCCACGTGCTGACACGGCACCGGGCAGCGCAGACAAAGTATCGAACAAAGTAGACGATGTATCGCGCCGTGCCATCCGGATGGTATCGGCTTCCCTCGCGATGCGCATCAGCCGCGAGCGGACTGCCGGCGCGGCGGCTGCTGCAGACTGGTCTGCCGCGAACCTGACTGGTCTGACGCGAACCTGACTGGTCTGTCGCAAATCTGACTGGTCTGCCGCGAACCTGACTGGTCTGCCGCGAACCTGACTGGTCTGCCGCGAATCTTACTGGTCTGCCGCGAACCTGACCGGTCTGCCGCGAACCCGACTGGTCTGCCGCGAGCCTGACTGGTCTGCCGCGAACCTGACTGGTCTACCGCGAACCCGGCTGGTCTGTCGCGAACCTGGTGACCAGCCGCTCGTCGGCACGGCACGTCTGGGGGGCCGAGACGCCGCTGCCAGGCGGCGGTCCCGTCGGTGTGTTTTCCCTCGCTGCCGATGGGCTGATCCGCTATCTGGCGAATAAAATCCGCCCCCGGCTCGTCTGCCGTTGAATTATGGCGCATTTGCACCAAATTTAATAATGTGTACGATGTGGGCCAGTGCAGAGGCCCGGCCCGTCACGTGCGCGGCAGCCTCCGAGCCAAGCGGCCGGTAATGGGCCCTAGCACGCCACCGGCGGCACGGCTGCGGCCCGGCGGGCTCCTCGGGCGCCGGCCGGCTCCGTCTCCGCTGCCAAATGTCTCCGGTCAGTCACATCTCGGACTGAGAGCGGCTTCCACCGTACAGACGCCCCGGCCCTAAAAGCGTTCTGCACCCCGGTCGGCCGCCGCCTTCGCCCGGGAGAAGACCTCAGCTCGCCGGACTTCCCCGCGAAACATGCTCAGCACGCGGGGGTCGAGCGGCGGGATCGGCGGCGGCTGCGCCTCGGACGCTGCCGGAGAAAGTCAGCGGTGTTGCGCTGCTGTCACAGGCGCTGAGGAAGTCCGAGCCAGCTGCTGCCATGGGGAGCGGGCCAGTTTCTCCGGCGGCCGGGGTGGCGGGCGGTCGGGCGGGGCCCCGGCCCCGGCCCCGCTCTGATCTGTATTCAGAGTGGGCTTTGACCTCATGCGGTTAAAAGCGGCGCGCGCCGGTGATATGCTTGCACCTGGTTAGGCATTATCGATACATCTAATAGGGACATGGCTGTCGGGGTCGTTGCAGGCGGGTGCATAATTAAATCCAAAACACGGCTGATTGCGCCATTTTGGACCTCTGGCATTGCAGAGGGGGCTGTTGGCATTGCCCGCATTGTCAGCTCTTGCAATGTGTCATGTGCTGTTCGTATTGTGAGATTTGTAGACGGCTTGTGCGACTGTTAAAGCAGCTGCCAAGACCGACCAATCAGGAGCTCAGCAGCGATATTTTGCAAACACATCTGTCGCTCTGACGCCCAATCTCTTGTAGTTTTGACATTCATTGTGGCGGTGTCTGGCGGATCCCCTTTCTACTGCGGCGATTGAAGTTTAATTAGAACTACTTGTTGTTATTTGATGGGTTCAAGATGGTGTTGCGATATTGGCGAAGTTTGAGCTGTGAAAGGTCGGAGAGTACCGGTGGGGCTCCCTCTCTCGTGACAAACATTCCGGGAGGTGCGCTTGCTAACCTGGCTTGGGGCCATTTCTCGCACGCCACATGTAAGTTGTTTGCGTGTTAGGTTATTTGGTGTTCATGTCGATTTTGCACAAACCAGAACGTTGCGTATCCTAACACAGTAATGTCAGCCCATGTTCCAGCAAATTGAGTGCACTGCTCTGGGCCAGGTGAGCTGTGGAACGGAACATAGGCTCCACGTGCGTCACCCATCTGGCCACGGCTTGATGTGATGCCTCAAGCGCGCGGGATGTCCAGCTGTGTTGCTGGGATGTGCCGGCTGCTGGCTGACGCTGCTGCACCGTCGCTCCTTTTCGATGGCGAATCGGACGGTGCAGGAATCTCCGATAAAAACACGAAGTGCCTCGGCAAACATTCTGACTATTGGGGTCACCTATTTCGGGCAACTCAGGTCTCTTAACGGCGCGTGAGGGCAAAAAGGTTATCATCCCCTTTTCTCCATTCACCGCGGAAATTGTGTTGACTTTTGTCACTCCTGGATAGCTTCAGGAGCTATGCTGTCCGCTGTGCGTGGCCCGGCAAGTAAACAGCGCTGCCCCGACAAAGGCGTAAGGAAATAATGCCCCATTTACATTGGCAGGTGACGCGTCCGTTTTGCAGGCGCTCACCCGCATGATAGCTCTATCAAGTCGCGCGTGATGGATGAGTAAGTGCGGTTACGACTCTGAAAACCGGTACAGTTACTTTGTGCAGGCGGCGTCACCCCGTGTGCAGACGGTGTGCGGGCTGGGCGTATGGACAGTGCGCGCAGGCGCTCGCGCCCCCTGCATACCGGCGCAACCAGTCACCATGCGCGTGCACAGGCGCCGGCTCCCAGCGTGTACCCAGTGTGTACGCCCAGTACGCGCCCGCACCCGACGCGTGCATACACTCCTTAGTAGCCCGTGTGTGCAGGCGTTGGCACACCATGTGTGTCGACGCCAGCATCCTGTCTGCAATTACAGCTGACCCGCTCGCCCCCGGCCCGTCGACCGCCTTTCCCAGTGTTAAAGCGTTTGATACTTCCCTATAGAGCGTTCACACGCGGCTCTCATGGGCCGCAAAAATGTCTTTGTTTCCCTGAACTTTGTAGGAAATTGCGGCAGCATTTTCTCGCGGTAGTGACCCCCGTGTCAGAGGTCGTCTCCGCGGTGACCTGGCGGGCCTTTAACAACACAACATAGGCACCCGGTTCACATGATACTTATTTTCTAATCTTTCCGAAATAGCTGTGCGAGTGACTTTTGACTCGCGGGCGGTGGTGGCGTAACCTGTGGGGGAAGCGGATTCACCGCAAAACTCATTTCGTCCGCTTCAATTAGGACAATAAATCAAAATATACTGTTACAAAAATTAGCTCGGGCCTTCTGCGTTAATATGATTCGGACTGATGACGTGTTTGCGCTACTTCGGCGGTGCGGAGGTCGGCATCGCGGCTTACATTCCGCCGGTGTCGCCTGATGACCTGTAACGGCTGGCCGGTGTCCCTGGTGACCTGACCGAGCTAGCTAGCGTTGTCCAAAGACTTGAAATGGCTGGTGGCTGTCCGGTAGCGCCTGAAGTCTTGTGTTGGCTGGTGGCTGTCCAGTGTCGCGTGAAGACCTGCAATGGTGGACGCCAGGTCAGCGTGTCCTGACTGCCTGTGGCCGCCGGCGGCTGTCCAGTGTCCCCTGGTGACCTGGGGCGGCCGGCGACTGTCCATCGTCGCCTGACGACCTGTAATGGCCGGCGGCCGTCCAGTGCCGCCGGCTGACCTGGGGAGGCCGCTGATAGCGCCGGCGCCGGCTCAGTGTGAGCCTGCAGCATGCAGAGCCCGCCGCCGCCCGGCCGCCCGTGTGATGTAATTGTGTACGCTGCCGCAATTACGGTGGCGACGCGGTGTCAGGCGGCCGCCGGCGGTGGTCATGTGCGCCGTGTCAGTGACACCCGCCGACCCACCTGCATCGCCGCCGACATTGCGCCGCCGCCGCCGCCGCCGCCGCCGCCGGCAGCGGCGCCGTGTGAAAACATGACCCGTCAGCGGCCGCCGCTCGGTAAACATCCGGCGCCAGTGGACAATTCGGAAATCGCGCCGCTGAGGTGGGCAGCGCTCGTCATGCGCGCCGTGCTGGCCGCTGATGTCAGCCAGCCGGCACAATTCGCTGGCCGGGACCGGCATCCATGGGCGGAGAACATGGGGTGGCTGTCAAGTCGCTGCGCCGGTCCGGAAAAGCTTCAACTCATGCGCGATGTTTTGGGAATACTTGTCGTCGCGCCCGCGAACCCAATGAAGCGAGCCTGCTGAGGCGATGGGGCCGGCCTTGCGAGCAGCGGCTGCTGGGAGATCCTGGTCAGTTCGCCGTACCGGAGGCGCGGCGCCGCGGCCGGGCGTCCGAGCGCGTGCTCGGACGGCCCCCGGCGCCTGTTGTGGCCTGGATTCACGCGCCGTTGGGAAACACGGGCCGGCGCCGATCGGGCGGCGGCCACCCGAACTCACCGACTCATCACATACTTGCCGGCTGACATCAGCACGTCGCGGAAGAAATCAATTACGCCATTGTTGCAAACGTGTCGTTTTCTCGGGCCGACAATGCGAGCATGATTTAGGGCGCGGCGGTCCGACGGCGCCTGGCCTGGACGTCAGGGAGTCGGGGGGCCTGGGGGAGGGGGAGGAAGAGGGGGCTGGAGGTCATGTCACACCCTCCCTCCGTACCCGAGCTGTGTGAGGCGTGAGAACGTGCACTGTACCGATGTCGGCGCAACCCACAGGGGTTAAAACGGCGCTGTGTTCAACTATGCTAAACTCGGTTTGCAAATAGATTTCTTGTCCGATTTCGACTACATTATTTTGGATTCTGCAAGACTTGGTCAGTGACTGTTCGACATTTGAAGGTCTATTTGAGCTTGAAGTGGTGCAAAACGGAGGCGTAATATACTTTGCAAGTTCCCTTGCCTAAAACCCTCCAGGGCCCACGGAC